AACGATTAACAGACATCAAATATATTATTTTAACGTCGAAATTATTAAATTTTATTGTACACATAACGACGAAAAACTACGATTCTCATAATTTTTGTAGTTTTCAACGTAACTATATCGTCTTAATTATGCATATTATGAGCAATTATATATTGCTTTACATCTATTAAAAAAGTTTTGATAGAACTAAATAAACTTGACTTTGAATCTTGTAAATAATTCAGAATTATTTCTCAACTTACATTTAAATGTTAATTAGATTTATCATAATATATTTTTACAGTCGCAATCACATTTACGTTATATAACTGCATACTATTATTTTTACAATGTCATTACAATTTACGATTCCATTGCCAATATAAGTAATAATTATTTTAATAATAAACCATTATGAAATAATAAGTTACAAGAATCCTTAAATTCCTTTTGCATTTATTTCCGATTACCTAAGCGTGTTGTTAAAAAAATCCAACCAACCGTATCCTATTGTGATATACTGATATATCATATGACATTTAACAGTAAACTTGATGATATCGTATTTCTATACCTGAACTATGTAACTGAGGGCGCGAAGAGCCGTTTACCCCAAGTTGATGGACGGGTGTTGGTATATGTGTCGCGCAGTCATGACGAAACCTAAACTCAGAAATCCCTTAAGTAGTTGTAAGTCTTCGTTTACCACGGTTCAACTACCTACTCCGCTCTTGTTATAGTTTCTGTATTTAATTTTGGAACATTTGAGAGAAAACCAAGAAAAAACCAACCTACCCCATGGAAACTGGCTTATCTTCAGGGTTTCAGGCTTTTATACGGCCTTTGACTCGAAATCACTGCTCTTTCATTATTTGAAAAACACTGTTAGTATGATGGCGCCACAATAAATTTCAAGAGTTTAGGATGGGAAGGGTTGGGGGACCTTTTATCGGTAGAACACCCCAACCAACACAATACATTTGACAGAATTATGGGTGTGCGAGATTTTTTTCCATTTCACTCCCTCGTATACGAGCCGATTTCAACAGGAAAACGACGTTTACCCGAGTTGTTACTAGCATGTAATATTATTGAAAATAATGATAATAAATGTTTCGGTTATTATTAATACTAAAAACAGAAATATTGTAAATATAACCAATTAACAAGAACAAATATATTTTAAGAAATATTATTTATCATGCTTGCACTATTATTTTTGTTTGAAAAAAAATGTTTTATTTACCTGTTATACATCATATATTATGTTATCTTAATTTACGAGTATTTTGAAGTTAATTTAGAAATATTTACAAGTATAATGCAGAATAACAGAGTTAATGTTTTTTTTTTAGTATTACAAAAGTCCATTTTTACGATGATGTGAATTTGTAAAAATTAAAAAGATTTAATGAAAATAAAGAGATGGGCACCTTATTACATACTTTTTCATATATATTATGTAATATACAACTAAAGCTATTTTTTATCCAACAAAGTTTTTTGTATAGAGAAGGGAGAGTAATCTTTACAATCACAAAGACTGACAGCAATACAGTGAAATATTAGATTTTCAAATCCAATCTTATACAGACAATTTCCTTTATTTTTTGGTTTCAACAGACTATTCAGTAACACATACAACGATTTAAACTGTAAAACGCCAACGAAATTCTATATCTTCGCACTGGTCGGATGTATATGGTAGAGCAATTTATTAGAATTCACGTAAGTCCTTTTTCACTCTAAATACAAATGTGCACAATATGCATAGTCAAATTCATCACTGTTTATCTTTAAGAGAAAGTTGTGCTTTAATAATACCTAAGACAATAACAGCAGTACCTTTTAACGCACATAATATCGTACAAACAATTTTTGGCTGAAGTTACAGACAATTCAATCGAATGGCTTTTGATTCGGTCCAAAGACATTATGATTATATTTACCTAGATACCACTGCACTAGCACGGTATATATATAAGCTTTTGACATTTATTCTACTTCGTTCACAATTATTATTAAGTTTACAGTTAGGTAGTGTTTGCAGGTGTAAACATCCTGTGCAGTATTTAACATACAAATCGATCCAAACTAAAATACTCACTGGTCGGATTGATATGTATGTTAAATACGTACTCACTGGTTGGGTATGGAAAATTAATATAATTCGTTCGTCCGTTTTCACTCTAAATACAAATGTGCACAACATGTAAACCTACTGAAATTCATGATGGATTGACTTAAGAAGATAGTTGTGCTTTGATAATAATATTATAACATGCAGTGTCCTTTAACATGTTTACTAATATCTTTCGCACAAACATTTTTTGCTGAGGCTAGATGATTCAGACGAATGGTTTTTTTATTCGGACCGAAGACAATATGATTATTTACCTACCAATACAGTATATATAAGATTTTGACATTTATTCCATTTCAATCCCTTTATGTTTAGTCGTCCCGTTCTTTTGTAAACGTCAAATACAATAAGATAGTTTAATAGTAATAGTAATAATAATGTAATTCAATGAAATATTTCTTTTACAAAAACATTTAACTAGAAGCTAGAAAACTATTGTATATATAAGTTACAGCAGTATAAATACAATGTTATGTTTTTTTTTTTAAAACAACCACAATACTATTAAATGCATAATAATTTATACTTAAAATTATTGACATTTCATAGAAATATATGTATGAGAGCTTTTTTTTTGAGTAATTCATGTGTTTATTTACAATCTATACAATAAAAGGATTATAGTTAGGACGTATATGCGATGAGTGAATTAATGATTTTTGTGTGATATAATAATAATATGATAAATCAATAGATAGATAGATAGATAGATAGATGATTCTACGCATAGTTATAAGAAATATACATTTTATTACTAGAAATATTAGTAAAATCTCGATAAATGAATATATTCATTAATATTTAGCTATCTTAAAACTACTATGTGGAAGTTTTAACCATTAAATAAGCAACGAAATGTATTTAATCATAACAATATGATAAGATACCTACCAGTTAGCTAAATTCTTTTAGGTTTTTTATTGCATTTTACATAATCATAAATGATCGGCTACGTTTAATTGTTAGATGACTTTCCAAAACTATTTATATAACTAGTGCAGAAGTATAACAAAATAAATTAAATAGAAGCGGACTCTACTCATAAATAAAGCTGGATTTTTGAATTAAATCATTTAAGGACATGGTATTTTCCGTAATGACATAATTGGAATTTAAATCATGTCACAATAATACGGTGGCCGTGAATTTATTGTGCTTTTTGAGGTTGAAAAGTTTTACTTTTTATTTGTAATACATCGATGGTAAGACGCTATTTAAACATTCGAAAAGTATTTATTTCATAAAAAATACGGTTTTAAATATTCCAACAATTTATCATTATCGACATTGGTCGATCATTTCTAATCATCTATCGATAAAGATAATAAGAATAACTATTATTTTCTCAACATAAAATATCATCGCTTAATAACGTTACCATTAGAAACACTTAGTGACCTACTGCAAAATATAATTTTCAATTGAACGTCATGGTCTGGTTGTAATTTGTATTAATCATAGTCTGCGGTAAAAACAAGAATCACTTATATTTTATTTTGAACACCGTACTTTATTGTTTTATGTACAGTTTATACTGACAAGAATTTCTAAATCAAGGAACCTGATATCGGTTAGATCTCATATACGTAGGTATTAATAACACACTTGATCTACCCATGTCTGTTATCAATAAGGGCGCAAGTTCATGTTACTGCAGAGTTTCGTGTACAAAGAAAAGTATACCTGTATTATATCGCTCTATAGCAACCTTAATAACCAAAGTTATGTCATTTCACAAGGACAAGGTTCGGACGCAGTGTGGTGAATAGAACCGAGCTATCATATTATTATTATTATCAACCCCAAAATATGAATAAAGGCGATGCTCTGGACTTAGGTATTATCGATAGTTTTTCTTGTGTATCATTGACACAAATCAGAGATTAGATTTTAAAAACACAGTCACGTAATGCTACCTATATAATGCTATACACTATTATACTGATTTATTCAGGATCATAAAAAAAAATATTATTTTATTAATGAAAATACTACATTATATTAATTCCATTATATATTTTGTACACTTAAACTTTATTTCGCCACGAACTTTTTTTATTATCGTTTTTAATGTTTTCGATTTTATTCTCTAAGTTTATTGAATTAACGATTCTATAAATGACAATATATTTTTATTGCTTCAGCTCAAATACTGTTGCAATAAATATTAAACAAGGTCGGAACTCGATGACAGAATTATATATACTAGTACAATGTAGTATGTACACTGCTATACGATATATCTAATACAAGACTATACACTTCATACGAATGTGGCCGACAGAACAATATGTTGTGTAAAATTGAGATCCACTGAGAGAAAAAGAATTCTAATAAATCGTCTGAAATGCAATTCTATTATTATCATTTTTTTTTTTGCAAGCATATATTTTCATTTATAATGTCACATTCGACAAACAAAAAATAACAACCAATATTTGAACTATAGTTGTCGGTGGTTGATTGTTAATTCGACACAGAGACAAGGATTAGGGGTAGAGAAATGCGAGTCGAAAATGCAATATTTATCTCTTGTATTTGCATAGCCTTTCGGGAGGAAAACGACAGGAATTAGCCGGTTGCCATTTTCTCGACAAATCGATTTGTTTGCACAAAAACACGTGACGTGTTGTCTGGTGAAAAAATAAAATAATAATAATAAAAGCGAACAAATTGTTTCTGGGTATGAATAATAATTTACCAATTTGAATCTCTAGAGTCAAATGAAATTAAAAATACGAGTGATTGAATATAAAAAATATGTGACTACATGGGATATAGTGATAAAATGTAATTTGCACGTTATTCCCACAATCCCGCTCGTAGAAGTGCCATTATCGTTTATACGGAGAGAAGATAATGTTTTATGATAACTTACCAATATCGGCTGATCCTCCCCAAGTTCCTTGCTGTGATTGTCTGGCCAATCTCATTATGGCGTCCGTATATAACTTGGAAGCTGAAGCGGCTCCTGAAGATAAAAACAAAAAGGAAACTCCAATAAGTAAAATTGTATAATTTAAAATGGGAGATTATTTATTAGTTTTTGAATTAAATGAAAACTATTTTTCGAGTAAAAAAATTCATTATAACTTAGTCTTAAGATATATTTTTACTACATTGACAATATAAATTCCTATTTTATTGTTTATTTTGTTGTTGACATTTTGGACAAGGGAAATATTTATCAATTATTACCCAAGATGTAAAATGTTAACAGTTTTTAAAATAATTATAAATAATAAGTTGATGAATGCATACAATAAGTCATAATTTAAGTGCAATAAAATATACATTTACTATTTTTTGTTAACAATTCGCCACCAGTTCAGCAGCTATTATACAGGTGTTAGGAACATGTATACAGTAATTTAATGTTTTTGAAAAAAATCTTCTACTGCAACGCGTGCATGGGTGACATCGATATGATAAATTATTGTGTGTGATTTAATAATATAATAATAATTATACACAAAAACTAATAGGTATCTCACATCAATTTTTGTATACCGCGGTTGTTGTCATTGTAATGATTATATTGCGTGGTTGTTAAAAATATCATCTGTGATAATAATTTAGCACCGTATATGAGCGAACAAAACATTATTAACAATATATTAATGATGCAACCGTATATTATATTATTAATCAGTCATACTCAGAAGGTTATCCGAGTCATCTTAAACACGTCACGAAGGGTATATGGAATACAATGCGAGTATGTGTACGACGAACGCATTATTCGCACTTGACAGTTTCCAATTTCGCAAAAGTGCGCGGGACCGAATTTGATTTGTGAGTAAAGGTCGTCGTGTTCATCGAACATCATACACACATTAATATTAAAACGTTTGAATAATTTACATGATATAATTATGATATGTTTGTAAGTCGGCACGCGCTTGGGTATGTGTGTGTGTGTGTGTGTGTGTGTGTGTGTGTGTGACACGTGCACGCCACTCGGCGGAGGAAACTGTCGGGAAAGAGAGACCCGCGGCGGTTTATCGTCGTGGAACATTATACTATTTTAGTGTAAATTATACATGTAATGCGCGTGTTAAGACGTCGTCGAAGTTGGAAAAGCGTTCCCGCAGCAACATCTCAGGTCTCCCCGCTCCTCCCTTTTTACCTATTATAACTAATTTTTATCCAAAAGTTTTATGAAATACGACCGTGTGCGTGCCGGAATCGTTGGTAGGTGTACAATAAACAACACGCTTATACGTCGCACGGTGCATCGGATAACCGCAGAACTTTTATTGTGTGTGTGTGTGTGTGTGTGTGTGTGTGTGTGTGTGTATGTGTGTGTGTGTGTGCGAGAAATTCGGTACTGTAATAGTATAATAATAATAATAATAATAATATATTATGTTGCGCATATTATAATAGTCCCATTGCTTCCGGATATCACGTGCTACTGCTCGAAATCCCGCCACAATGCGTTGTGTCTGGGGTGGCCGCGAATTGTCTATTATTGCCGATGACGATGACTTGGAAACCGACCAAGCAAAGAATGATTTTGTTCTTCATCATTTATCACTGACCGTGATCGTTTCCATTCCGATTTTCGACTCGATGTAGACATAATAATATATATTAGATAGTCGATCTTCGAAAAAAATATATAGGTATAATACTATAGTATACGCAGTCTTAGATATGTATTGATAAAATGATGTCTGCTGCAGATCATCTCCTCTCCATCAATAATGTCCGTAGCTATTCGCCTATGGGTGGTTTACCTATACCAGACACGTATCGTATACCGGTTTCGATTTTGCACCTGTTTCCAATCACTTTCCATTCGTGGGGAATTCACTAAAATATAATATTATATGGTCATGGACTACGCTGCAGTGTGCACGTCGTCGTGAATCGAACCCAACAACCCACTTGGAGACGGTGCGGAGATTAAAATAATATTATAAACGAATGGCAATTTCCGTAACAATAAATGACCTTTCGATACGCCAAAACGAAGTAGGTACTACGTGATTTAATTACCATCAAGGGGTTCCCTGCGTGTTTAAAATGCAAGTCTCTGATTTTTTTTTTACGATTATAATCAAACCTCAGGATTACCGCATATATATGGAACTCGGTGCCTGCCAACGTAACTCCGTTTTAAACCCTGCGGGGTTTGTAAAATCACGAGTTCTTTTTTAATAAGCCTAATAAAAAAACAAGGGGTGGTTGTTAAAAAAAAGGAAATATATATTTATCGACCGCGCGTATACTACCTATATTATAACAAGAAAATAATATAATAACAAATTAATATGAGGCACGCCGTTTCCGTGGGACATTGTACTAACTACACTGCACAACAAACCGGGGAAACTTAAAACGATATTGTGCTGCAGACATTGTATATAGGGGTGCTCGGGTGAAAACAGGAAAACGAGTAAGACCAAAATGGATTCACCCGACTACTGCCGACGTAATGACACATTTCCATACATAATAATCCAAACGTTGTATGCTATGATATTTGTGCACGCAGAGCCTTCGAAATAATGCGCACCCCAAGGAAAAACTTTATACACTCTTTGTGGTATTATTTAAATTTCCATTGTGCCCGGTAAACTGTTTCCCGCTTAAATCTGACAGCCAATGACAGTTCATTTCAAACACCTACCTACGTCTATATATTGTAACGTGTATTGCAAATTTTTAGAAAAATACATTTTATTCACAAACCAGTGCACATAATATTGTAGTTATTGGCTTTTAAAAATTGATGCCTTGTCACAATTTCAATTTCACAGGGGGGAAGCAACCCTTATGTCTTGGAAATCAGCTATCCGTGACGCTGCGCTATTTCCTCCCTAGCTTAAAATGTCATCAAAAAATGTTTAGCGTTTCGACAGTTTAAATTTATGGTTATGCCATTAATAGCAATGGTTTTTGAAGTGCGTGGATGAAACTGTCGAAATATTTTGCATAGTTCGCCAAAGTATAATGTTTTCATAAATGTTTCAGTGACTTTAAAAGTAAAATCTAGATGTAAATCTGTTTTTGTAATATTGTAAAAATATAGGTTTTATTTTAATTATATTTTTACGAAAATAACAGAAGAAGATTTAATAATTTGTTTTTATTGAGCTTCTTTGTGCGTTATTAAGTTAAATGTGCACCCATTCAGTAAAACGTTTTCAAGGTAAATTTAATATTTAGATAATACGAAAAATATTCATAAATATAAATCTAATTGTATATCAAGATAAAATCACACAATAGCTTATAATTTTCCGAAAGAATAAATTTTAAAACAAACATGAATTTGTAGTAAGAATTTATGATTATAAGCAAAGACGGACTTATTTGCATTTAAAATTTTAAGATGTGCATGCAAACATGCACTAAAAAAAATCAAAAGATGCAAGAAAAAGATGCAAAACATGCAAAATAAAATTTCAATTTTCATTACATTTTATATTTGATTTTAATTTTGCCGTGATAATTATTTATTTGTTTTATTAAAATTTTTATAAAAAAAAATAAGATGTATAATATAACAAAAATGTAATGCAATAATGCAATTTGTTAAATTGTAATTTAATTTTTAATCATTGATACATTGTAAAAAATTTTATTAAAATGAAATAGTACATTGGTGATATACTGATATAGATAGGAAAAAAGCACAAATAATTTAATGTAGTATGTTAGTTGGAAAAGCAATAACCTAATCTATTTTTAGCTACCGAATGTTCTTTGAGATGTAAAATATTTGATATTAATATTATATAACCGTACCTATAATCTGTTTTTTTAGATCGTTAGGTGTATATTTGTATGGTTTTTTTGTTAAAATATGAAAAAATATGCAGAAAATGCAAAAACCTTAAATCTGTTCATAATAACTTACTTTGGTTATAATATTATGTGTGTATAATATAGAATGAGATGTTTTCATTATTATGATACTTACGCATAATAGTTAAATTCGAATTGATAATTTATACAAGTTCCCTGCAGACACAATATGTATACATGGGTACATGACAAGTATATGCCTTCTACGCACGCCTTGTTTGAGTAGGAATTTTTATTTTTAATGGCATTTTAAGTCTAAGTCAATATCGTAAATCGTTTTTACTGAGGAGAAACTGTATGTTACTCTTCGTATAGCCAATCGTTTTTCCATACGCTAAATTGACATTGACACGGGTGTAGTTGAATTACCTATACGATACGCCGTACTGACGGGGTCGACGTACAAGATGCATTAAAATTGATCGATTCACTTTAAAAATACAATCCGATGAAAATTAATACGAAAACGAACAATAATAAAAATAAAAATAAATTTATCTCTAATTTATTTTAATAACTATTGTAGTTGTTCTTCGGAAGTCTAGTATACATCATAACGATATACGATCGATGGAAGAAAATATATATTATTTGTAAACACTTTAATATCTACGATTAACAGGGTTAGCGATTAGCATATTACAATAGAGATATTTGATTAAAATATAAAGACTGCATTTTTTACCGAATTAGGCTAAAGTACACATAATATGTGCAAATTTGTCTTTCATACGACAACTAACATAAACAACAAATCAACTCAAGAAAAAAATTATGCAAAAGCTCGTCTATATTCAATCGGAAACAACGTTGACAAAAAACAATTCAGACGGCGACAAACGTTTATAATAAAAACACGACGGAAATTTCGTCGGAATTTTATTTCACGAGAGATTCACACGAGAATGGCGGGAGGGAGCAATAAGACGTGTAAAACGACAAACGTAGTCCCGAGGTACGAGCAGGGAACGTCTTATAAGGACTGAAAACGAGGGAGGGAGGGAGAGAGAGAGAGTGAGAAAGACGCGGCGGCGCAGGAGAGATAATAAATAAAGCACACCCCGGCGAATCAAAATATATATGTATAGTGTTTACCCCGGGGGAAATGCAAAAACATGCACATCCTGTGCAAATGAGAACAAATTGAAGTTT